CAGGAATGAACCTGCTTGGGAGAGGGTGGAAACCCCCACATCCCAGTGCTGCCCAGGCAAACAGCCTGTTATGGCCAGAGACTCAAGGAATGAGGAGGTGCCTGGGGAAAGGAGCTCAAAGACAGTAGCCCAGCCATGCTCAACTCACGGGGTGGAGTGGTTCCACTGGACGCAGAGAGGTTTGCTTCTGTTGGCAGTCTCCAGCAGGTGAAATTCCAGCACGAGAGGGGTGTCCAGGGGCCCCCGCAGGAAGGTGTGATTGCTGAACACAGACACACTCACGATGGGAGAGTTCATCACAGGATTCTTGGGGAGCCTGCAAGGAGGAAGAGAGCTCTACCATCACTGTGCCTGGCAGCTGCAGCTCTACAGGGACTTCTCAGATGCCTCGCACTGTCATCTCAGAAGGAACAGCCCTGCTCAGCCCACATCAAGGAGTCAGGAGACACGGGGCAGAGCAACACCAAGGTGGGCAACAGGCAGAGCACCTAACGATGGTTTGGTTGGGAGCCAAACCCAAGCCATTGCAGACAGACCCAGCAGCTGCCACAGGGAGCAGAGCAGAGTCCAGCCAGCCTCTCTCCACTGGTGCTTGTGGAGGGCAAAGGGGAGAAGGACATACCTGACGCTGCGGCGATCCACCTGGTAGCGCGCGGGCAGCAGCCCCCCCAGGGTGCGGTACATGATGAGGATGATCACAGTGAGAGGGGGCTCGGGCTCCGGCAGCGCCTGCCTCGGGGAGGAGCTCTCCAAAGTGTAGTTCCCTTCGCCCCCAGCCAGTGTGGGCACAGCTGTGGGGGCAGCTGAGGCACACAAGGGGAGGGTGAGATCACACAGATGTTGCTCCGAAGGGAACTTGTGAGGCCACCACAGCTGCCAGCCTTTGGCAGCTCTCAGGCAGATCTCAGCAGGGGTACATCGTTCCTTGCACGCCCACCCACAGGGTTCCCACAGTGATGCTCACATGCTCACCTTCAGCTTTTGGGGGGCTCAGCACCGACAGCGGCAGCACAACGTGGGTGTGGGGGTCCCAGGCAGGCTGGCCCCGGAAGAGGCTGCTGTGGTAGCGAGGGTAGCGCCGGCGGATATGGGAGTGGTTCTCCATGCGGTCGATGCTCAGCACTGTGGAGAAGCAACGGAGTGAAAGCCTGCTCTGGGATGGCCACCTGGAGAGCAGCCATGCTCCAAGGCACCCCAGGTTTGAAGTCACCAGCAAAAAGGGACCACACAAGGTTGTAAATATATCCCATGGTTGGGCATGATGTGAGCTCCCAGCATCTGCAGCGCTCCTTCCCAGCTTAGATTTTTGCTCTGCCATAGGGCAGGCCACTTCTGCCACTGGGACCAGTGGCTTTTTCACTAGAGATTCAGGTTGGACTGAGGGTAACAGAGAGGGCAGCACATTCCTGGCTTGGCTAGCTCTTGGGGATGGGACCAGGATGTCTCTCACAAACACCTCCTTGTGTTTGAGGGAGCCAGCAAGGAAGTGAAAAGACTGTTCAGCACCCCTGCTGAGGTGCAGTGAGATGAGGAGAAGGGGACAGAGTGTGACAGAGGAGTGGCTCCGCACTACCCCAGCCAGGCCCCACCACCAGCCAGCTCACCAGCCACCACCACCACTCACTGATGTTGGGGGTGACAACGCCAACAGGGTTGAGGTAGGTGAGCTTCATGTTGCTGGCCAGCGTGCCCGAGTAGTCCCGCAGCTGCTCCATGAGGCTGGCGCTGCCGTGCTCGCTGTGCGGCAGCATCGCCCAATGCTCCCGGTTCTCGGGTGCCAGCACGGAGCTGCCTGCACGCAGCAGGTTCTGCATGGGAGAGACACAGGGGCAGAGGGTGAAGGAAGCACTGCCTCTGGGCACTCCCCAGGCTGCAGCACTGTGCTCTGTGCCCAGCTTGCTGCACAGGTGCTCAGGGAAAAGGGGCATCTTCTGCTACGATGGGCCCTCACCCTCAACGTGGCACCAGAAGCCACTCTGATCTGGGGGAAGGACTCACCTCATTGAAGTGGGCATCCTGTGTGGCTGTCAGGCCGAAGCCACGCTGGTGGCTCTCAAAGGCCATGAGGCGGGACAGCAGGCGGAAAGTGATGTGCACATCATTGCCAAAGTAGTGGTCCATGTGGTCTGTCACAGCCCGGAGCCGGTGGGCCAGCTTCTTGGCTTCAATGGTATTGAGCTCAGTCTCGTTCCTCTCCAAGCCCTCCAGCTGCCAGTGGGGAGAAAGGAGGGGATTGAACAATTCAGCAGATTCCTCACTGGGCAACTGGGATGCTGCAGGCCCTTCTAGACCTAGAGATGATTTTTGAAACCATGGCACAAGCCATGGACACTCACAGTGGTGTCACTAGAACAGGGAGCATCTCTGGCAGATAACCAGCCTCCAGCAACACGCTGGCCCAGCTCAGGTTATTTGTCTTTCTCTTAAATACCGGGGCAAAACACAGGTTGTTTTTGATGGGTAAACTCAGAAGATTAGACTAAACCAAAGTGAACTTCAGCTCAGACCAATGCTCCCACAGGATGGGTTTGGGGACAGCAGATGATAAGACAAAGGTGCTGAGCACTATGACAAGGCCCTCTCCTACTCTAGATGCCTGGCTCCTGTCCTGTCAGGGGTCCAGAGCTGAGAGGGGATTACCAGCATGGAGAGCTCCTTGAAGGCAGGTGAAGTGCAGTTAAAGAGATCTGGCTCCAGCCAGCCCTTCTCCTCATCACAGTGCCTGACAGCTGCACCTAAAACCGGGAGGAAGGGCACATCTGAAATTCAGCACAGGATGCATGGCTCACCTGCTGCATCTGCCCAGCAGGGACCCTCTGCACCAGCTAACTCCAAAGAGCAGCACTGGCAAGTGATGGAGAATGTCTGTAACACCCCGGGGCCATCTTCCATCTTTGCATCAGTGCAACCCATTCCAGTCTTGGTCCCCATCACCTCAGCAAGCACCTGGTTCCTGGTGGGGACGTGCCTGTGTCCTCGGGGCACATCTGACCCCAAAATACTGAAGCCCATGCAGCTCTAGGCATCCCTGGCTGACAGCCTGCAATGCCTGCTGAGGTTCTGCACCTCTCTACAGGTCACTCCAGGCAAACCCACCCCATAGACAAGCCCCTGCAGTGGAGTGGGGTGGAGGACCCCCCACCCAGTGCAGTCCCTGACTGGGTCCCAAGCACTACTGCACAGTGGTGGAGATACCAGCAGTGAATGGGATCAGCTGTTCACCACCCTCAAAAGTGCTGCTACAGCTGACACAGAGAGCAGTGTCCTGGGTCGGGAGTGTCACCACACACTTTAAGCAAGAGAAAGTTGGGTGTTCCCAGTGTACCCAACAGGACTATGGACCTCGGGGTAGCACCAGGACACAGTAACCCACCCAGGTGCCCATCGCTGTGAGAAGGCAGCAGCATGGCCAGGGTGGGGAGAGGGAGCCCGGAGCAGCCTCCAATTGCTGCTCAGAAAAGCCCCAGTGACCAGCATGCCCCTTCCCATCATCTCCAGCTCCCAGCTGTCTTCCTCAACCACTTTTCCCCTAGCTGCAGAAGCACAGGGACCAGTACAGTTGCATCTGGGATCAAGGAGAACAAAGAGAACTCTACACTGTGGGCCTTGCCCCGGCAGAGAACAGATTGGTTCAGCCACAGATCTGGGCAGGATCCAGCCCCCATGTCCCCCTGCCAGCTGGGCAGGAGGAACAGATTCTTGTCCCTGTGCATGCCCATCAGTTCCTGCCCCTGTTCCACTGCCCCTCACTCAAGCAGCTCCCCCCTTTCTCCACCCCACGGCCATTGCTCCATGGCCTTGCTGGCCTCACCATCCATTGCTCATCACCGGCTCCTTCCCCTCCCAGCCCAAGCAAGCAGGTACCAGCCCAGGAGAGCTGGCACCAACCATCCCAATGGGGAACAGAGCCAACACTGCAGGCTCAAGACAGCGGGTGGCAAGGGCTGCATGCAGCTGCAGGCAGGGTTGTGCTGGTTAGTGTGCTGGGAGCAGGGAAGAG